GGAAGGTTTTCCTCAGCTAGTTTTCAGAAGGAGATCACCAGGCTTTTCTTCCTAGTCTGTCTTCTTCTGGAAGCTCCGCTGAAAACCCGTTGTCCTGTTGTGAGGATTTTTGTTTTCTTTATATTGAGGTGTAATCCATACTGCAGACTGTAGTCTTCAATCTTCATCAGTAAGTGTTTCAAGTCATCCTCACTTTCAGTGAGCAAAGTTGTATCATCTGCATAATGTAGGTTGTTAATGATTCTTCCCCCAATCCTGATGCCACATTCTTCTTCATGTAAGCCAGCTTCTCGGATTATTTGTGCAGCATACAGATTGAATGTTGTTGTTGTTGTTATTTGCCGTCGAGTCAGACCCAACTCATAGCGAGCCCTCCTGGGTTTCTGAGGCAGTATCACTACGGAAGTAGATTGCCCAAACTTCCTTCTGAGGAGTGGCTGGTGGATTTGAACCACCAGCCTTCTGGTTAGCAGTCAACAGCCTCCTGGTCTATGTACAGGTTCCTCATGAGCACAGTTAAGTGTTCTGGAATTGCCATTCTCCTCAACGTTATCCATAATTTGTTATGATCCACACAATTGAATGCTTTCGCATAGTCAATAAAATACAAATAAACATCTTTCTGGTATTCTTTGCTTTGAGCCCAAGGTCCATCTGACATTAACAATGATAGCCCTCATTCCACATCCTCTTCTGAATCCAGCTTGCATTTGTGAAAGTTCTCTGTCAATATACTGCAATATACAGCCTTGGGCTGTTCAGGCTACCGGCCCTCCCTGTCTGCCCCTGCTCCTTGCTGCCTTGGGGGTTGTGCCTCTGATTCCAGTGTGCTGGTGATCATAAGAATGGTGCAGGACTGGGCAGCATTTCATTCTCTTGTACATAAGGTCACCCTGAGTTAGAGTCAACTCCATGGCAGCTAACAACCATTATTATTATAAAGAATTATTTGCATTGTTTACCCAAACAAGGTCGGAGCTCTACAATTGAATAGACTCATTTAAACCATATAACATACTAGCCAGCTGCTCTGCAGAAGAAAGATGGGGCAATCTACTTTTAAGATTTACCCCCTCAGAAACCCAAAAGGATTGCTATGAGTTGCAATTAACTTGATAGCAGTGAGTTTGTTTTTGTTTTGTTTTGTTTTTTAAACATACTTAGCAATTTTATATACAGTAAGTCCCTGGGTTATGAACGACTTATGAACAATTTCTACTTGCCCTTTAACGTTAAAAAATTTGCTCTCACTTTGAAATGATTGAACCAACCCCTACTCACAAAAAATTCTTCATCACATAAGGACTGGTGGAACCCTCAAGACTATGGCCTTTAGATGCTCTTCAAGCTAGGAACTGAACTTAACTCCAGTAACTCAATGGGCAGCCAAATGATAGACCTGTAAGATGTACAGTAACTTCAAGAGGGTATGCGCTCATTACAACAATCAAGCATATGATGTCAAAAGGAAAGCATTTGTCCACGGATAGAGCTAGAAAGGTGGGAGAGGATGGAAAGGAAGACCAAAGGAAGAGGTGAGTGTAGGGAGGAATTGGAAAGAATGCTGTTACAGTGGAGGGATTGCAGTAAATGTCATAAAACAGAATGTGTATGAATTGTTGAATGGAAAACCAATTTGCTCTGTGTGGTAGTTAAGTTTATGTGTCACCTTGGCTGGGCCTGGTTGAATGGCTGGGCAGCTGGATGTAGTATTCCCCATGATGACATTGGCAATCAACTCCATGGTGGAATCTACTGTGAGCAGCTGAGTAGCTTCCTTAGGGATATAGTCTACTTCCTGTATATAAGGAGAAGCCTTGGGGAATGGTCTCTAGCTCATGGCACATTTGAACCCTGCATGTAGCTGTTTCGTTGTTCAGCAGCCTGCCATGCTCTGTCGACCTTGGGGCTTTCAATGGACTTGAATTAATGCCTGCTGTGTGGTTTGGTAACATCGGGACTGTGCCTTTTTACTTGTCAACCTTGGGCTTGCCAGCCTCAGCAGCCAGCAGCTGAATGAAGAAAAGCCTCCAGTTTCAGTGGGCTGGGAGCAGGAGGCAGAGCTAAAGCCCAAGGCTGAGGGGCTTTTACCAAGCCCCTAGAGCCTGGCACTTTGAATTCAGACTTAAAGCCTCCAAACGGTAAGAGAATAAACTCCTGTTTCTTTAAGCCATCCCATTTGTGGTATATTCTTGTCAGAGCGGTACTAGGTAACCAGAATACTCTGCAAACTTTCACCAAAATCACAATTAAAAAAACACCAAAACTTCATCATAATCACCTTCACTTGCTGCACATGAAGCTTTTAAATCATTGAAAAGGCTTCGAGTCTTTTCTTGCAGTAAGGTAAGGCTAAGTAAGACCCATATGTACCTGTTCCCACACACCTACAAATTTGACTTAAAGACATGCTTAGGAACAGAGCTTGCTTGTAACCCGGGGACTGCCTGTATTTATGTTCTTATTTGCTCTTTCTTTTAAAGACTTAAACTAAGTATGAAAGGTCTCTCCTGATTGTTTTTCTTGCTCTTGTTCCTTGCATAATTGTTATTTAAGTTGCCTTACCATCAGGAAAAGAAAGTATCCTCAGCACAGGCAACTGCATTTTTTTCCAATGAAAGACTAGAATCTATCATCAGGGTAACCCTTAGGATGTCCTGCTTGCTCAGTCTTGTCCAGAGGTTGCTGTACAGCCTTTACAACATCCTGGGGTGACTGCTAAAGAGACCAGAGCTCCTTCCCTGGAGATACAACTTCTGCAGGAGCCATCAACAGCCAGAGGACTGATGTGTTTAGAGTGAAAAATGACTTGTTCTGTCATCATGACAAGTATAGCACCCTTTGGGATGCTTCCTGAGCCTCACATAGGTACAATCACATGTGAGGAATATAATCCCCCAGTCACTTAAGAAAATGGATGGGCCTTTTGTAGTGTGGGGAGTAGATGTAAAAGCTTTCTGTGCTGGCTTATGGTTGACCTTTGTGCATGCCAGTTCTATTACCTCAGGCTTAGCGTTGCTTACAACAGCCTGTTCATCCTTCCTACTGCCCGGTACCTCAGGCTTTGCAAATAGTAATGGGACAACAGCTAGTATTGTAATTATAAGTGTTTACCAAAACAATATTCTGAACTCTAAAGCTAAAATGTGACCATCATTCCACTGAGCATGATTTTCTCATTTTGGAAATCGAGCAAAGTAGGGTCTGAAACCTCAGAATGATAGCTTGCTGGGAGATGATACGGTTGTTGCTTAACTTTCTCCATGGCCCATGTAGAAGTAGGCCTGTCAGAGATCAGCATCATTCAGCTTCGTTTAGGGGAGCATCTGTGATAGAGGGCAACCTATGTCTTCTACCACTAATACAGCTCTTTGTGGCTTTCCAGAAAACCCTGTCAAATCCAGACAATACTCAGTCATCTTATTGGCAGCCAAAGACCATTTGAAACTAGATCTAACAATGTGGCCATTTTTGTTGTTATTGGTAGCTGATGTTGCGTCAGCCCCAGACACTGACTCATGGCAACTCCATCCACAATAGTATCTGACTCATGTGATCCATAGAGTTTTTGTAAGTATATTGCCAGGCTTTTCTTCCTAGTCTATCATAGTCTGGAAGCTCCACTGAAACCTGTTCACCATCATAGCAATACGCAAGCCTCCACTGACAGCTGGTGGCTGTGCATTAAGTACATTGACTGGGAATTGAACCCAGGTCTCCTGCATGGAAGGTGAGAATTCTACCACTGAACCACCACTGCCCTCATAAGTCTCTTAAGTTGTTACCTGGGCCCTTGGAGTTTTTTTGTGTCCTACCTCTGGGAGCTCTGGTAGCATAGTGGCTAAGACACTTGCCTGCTAACCAGACGGCTGGCGGTTCAAACCCACCAGCCACTCCTCGGAAGGAAGGTTGGGCAATCCTACTTCCGTAGTGATAACTGCCTCGGAAACCCAAGGAGGGGTCGCTATGAGTCGGGGCCGACTCGACGGCACATAACAACAACAACAACAACCTCTTTCAAATAAATTTTAAGGTATCTCACAACAGAAGCTATGCACGATAATGTTGTTAAGGTAGAAGCATTTGAAAATTGTGAGAAGAGGGAGTGTGCTAGCCAAGATGGATAATGAAATTACTGTGATATATTATTGAATTTGGCCCTGAGTCCATTTAAAGATGCAGCAATAAGTGAATAATTAAATATACTATGGTACAGCCGCAGGACCGAAGATTATGTATCCATTAAATTTATCCTCAGTGAATTTCTAATGATGAGAAAAATGCTTATAAGACAGTATTAAGAAGAAGATTAAAAACTATAAAATCAGCTATGCTGACAAAAAGTAGAGAGAAAATATTAGAAGAAAATTATCAGAATATTAACTATAGCAGATGAGATGACATTTTTGTTTTCATCTTTATATTTTCCTCTTTTTTTTCAGATATTTGTAATGAGCATATATTGCTTCTATAATCACACATACAAATTAGTTTTTTAGTTTACTCCAAGCTTCCTGGAAGAAAAGGCAAAAAAAAGGGAAACAATCTTGAGTTTCATGGTTCTCATTACATGATAAAAAGACAATGTTCATTCTTCAAGATACACTTTGCTGATACTGAGTTCCAAAAGGGGTTTATCATAAGGGGTGTTGAATGATGTGATGTGCAAAATCTTGATAACATTCTGAGAACACCGCAGAAGGGAGAGACTCTTCGTGGCTGTGTCCCAACACCACCCACTAAGAAGAGCCAGGGGCCTAGCACTGTAGACTAAGGTCCTGAGGACCCCAGTCAGCTTCTCTCTCTAAATTTTGTGTTTGGAATTTTGAAGTGCTTCTTCCTCCCATTGCCACCTATCCTTTCAAAACATGTGAGTCAGGCCTCATAGATGCAGAGAACAGCTCTCAGCTTTTCCTTTCACATCTTGAAGATTAAATCACCAGTCCCGGAAATTAGTCTTCTGAAAATTAATGCCATTTGACTCCCCCGTCCCCTTTCAGGTGTTGCTGCACTGGATTCCAATGTATCTGGCAAAATTGGCCTGCGTGCTGTCGTATATTATTTCTGCACCACTGTCATTGCTGTAATTCTAGGTAAAGTTTACTTCTGAATCCTTATTCCTCTATATCATTATGTCTTTTCATTAAAAAAAAAAAAAGTGGAGTTTTTAAAACACACTTTATCAGAAAATAGTATTGTCAAGCTACTATGAGGCTTTTTGGCTTGATGTCAATATAGTACCTTCTGAGTGAAGAAGATATAGTACTGACTGAAATTATTAATGCCTCCAGTAAAAAACAAAAAGAGGGTGACACTTCTGTGGCCTGTCAGGATCATTGGGTAGAAGGAAGTGCAGCCAAGAGCATGTACAACCCTTAACTAGATATTTGGTCTGTAATAGTAAAAACCCACTGTCAGCAAGTCGATTCTGACTCATAATGACTCTATAGGACAGAGTAGATTAAACTGCCCCATAGGGTTGCCAAGGCTATAGATCTTTACAGAAGCAAACTACCTCATCTTTCTCCTGTGGAGGAGCTGGTGGATTTGAACTGCTGACCTTTTTGGTTAGCAGTCAAATGCTTTAACTACCGTGCCACCAGAGCTCCTAACAGAACTAAAAAAATAACAAGGAGCTCTGGTGGTGCAGTGGCTAAGGCATTTGACTGCTACCAGGAGGTTGGCAGTTCAAACTTATCAGCCACTCTGCAGAAGGAAGACTGGGCAATCTACTTCCGTAAGGATGTACTGCCTAACAGAACAATTGAGTATAATTATAAAATATTTCCAGAAGGATACCAATGCAGTACCTTTCACATTTCATATACAGCTAAGAATTAACAGAATCTTGAAAAGTATAAATCCTCCTTGAAAAAGGGAGAGAGTTCTAGTAAGGGAAAATAGCTGCTCTTGAACCTGTGACATTCTTTTGTGAAGAAAGGTTGTCCTGCCCTTTGTGACCTAGTTTGACATTTTAAAAGGACACCTACAATAGGAAAGGATGAAGGAAACTTGACTTAGATGCCACAGCCAACTTGACCCTGACAGCCCTGCTTGAATAAATAAATGAATACGAAGTTTGGGAAATGGATGTGGGGTGAAGTTTTAGTAGTATTAAGCCAGGGGACCTAAGAGGGCCTGAACCGAGCTTCAAGCCAAACCCATGTCTCCTCAAGAGATTCCTGAAGAAGACAGACAAACAAAAAGCAGCGGGAGAAAGCAAGATACCCACATGACCCCATGTGTGTCCGAATAGAACCGTGTTCCATGGGGATTTCAGTGGCTGGTTTGTTAGAAGTAGATAGCCAGGCCTTTCTTCTGAAGTGTCTCTGGGGGGACTCAAACCTCCAGCCTTTCAGTTAGCAGCCAAGCACGTCACCCATTTGCAGCATGAAGGGACTCCACTTTATCACTAACTAGAGTTATAGCCCTTCTGCACCACTGAGTGGGCAAAGTGGACCATGTCCACTCACAGCCTTCCAGTTGCCCCCTCCAGTAGCACAGCCTAGCATTTCCTCCTTCTGAAGCAGGGGGATGTTTTTCTCAATCACCCTCTTCTAGTCAAACAACCTCCAATGCTTTGGTGTCTTCTATAACACCCCACCTCATGTGATAGGATCCCATACTTCCAAATGCCAAAATGGCACCCTGCCATTTAGATCTGGAAGACACAGCACCCTGTAGACAGTTCTTCCTCACAGTGAATGAACTATCTCTTCCTGTGGCTCCTGCCTACTTGTCCTCATTCCATCCCCTTAGAGTCACACAGAACAGTACTTTCCCCACACACCAGCTTTCAGATATTTGAAGGCCTACCACATGGAAGGAAGAAGAACTGTATTCTGTATGACCCTCAGGACAATAAACAAGAGCTCTGGGTAAAAAGTATAGAAGTGCACAGGTCCCTTAGACTAGAAAACCAATCACTGTCACCCCAATACCTGCCCAAGCTGCTCTCATAAGCAAAAGGAAAGAAAAGAATATTCTGGTCAGCAGATGTTTCCAGAAGCAATTCTAGGATGCAGGCCCTTCATTAAATAAATACGGTCTAAAGGAAAGAGTTCTTCTCAGTTTTTCATTTAAAGGAAAAAATAATGAAGGCTGCCACAAGGTCCCCACTGAGGCTCAGCTGGCCCACAGGGAGCCTCTCACAGCACTGCCTGGTAATACCTTGCCTATTGGTTCTGAGAGGGGTTTGTGGGGGTGCCAGGTGCTCTGGAAGGTTCTTAACACTCTGTGGGACTGTGTTTGGCTACAGGAATTGTGCTAGTGATAAGCATTAAGCCTGGTGTCACCCAAAAAGTGGATGAAATTGACAGAGTGGGCAGCACCCCTGAAGTCAGCACAGTGGACGCCATGCTTGACCTGATCAGGTGAGTGGCCTCCAACTGGGTGGCTTCATGGCAGCCACCTGGCAATCCCACAGGGCCTGCTTGGTTGCTGCCTTGAAATGTCTAATAATTATCTAATTATTGTGCATTTTCATTTGCCCAGGACTCTGCAAATCATAGCTGGTGCTGCTTGCCAGGTTGTGATTCCAGGGAAGGGTGAAAGTATCCAGTGGGTCTTATGGCAGGGTTATTTGGAAGAGGGAATGGGAGGAGCAGGCTCTTCTGTCTGGAGTGACAGTGAGCAGAGATAAAGGAAGTGTACGTGGTGTCTGAAGAGGCACAATTGGGCACATCTGAAGAAATATATTTTTTAACCATACTCAAGAGAGCATCTTACCTGAAGCTTTCAGGTAAGGGGCCAGAAGTTGGTCAGTTAATAAAATATAACAACAAAGCAGAAAATCATTTAAAAATGATATAGATAGACCATATATATTTTATTTCCACTTAAAACTTAAATGCATTTATTTGCCAGTTTTTATGTGGTATGTTACTTGATTGGAATTCCAGATTATTTCTGTTGCATAGACAGCCCTTATAAATCCATCCCATACAATGTCCAGATCCCATTTCCATGAAGTGGAGCAAGGGAAAGTTTAGAAATCACACTCAAAAAAATCTGAGTGTCAGATCCTTCTAGGTTTTTTTGTTTGTTTGTTTTAAATGTAAATAGTCTTCCCACACTTTATTTAACCACAGAAATATTAGTCATTTGTCTTTAATGAATCTTTCTGGGCATTCAGCTCAGGTTTTATGGAAACCACAGCTTCCTTTGCACATTTGTATTTCATAGGTTTACATCATATTTAATTCCATAGTTATAATGATGTTTACATTTGGCATAAAGAATTTGGAGACGTACAGTAGACTTTTGGTAAGCATGCATCCTCTTTGTGGGATATTAAAGAATCATCTCTTGACTGTTGAGTGTCTACCTGCCCATAAGATGTTTCACCAAAAAAAAAAAACAAGTGTTAGTTACTCAGTGAATCGGTTAAGTGAGGCTTGGGTAGGAGAGCTTCTTATACTTGGTTGAAGCTCAGCAGGAAAAAGGAAATCTCAACACAGGGAAGCATGTGCAACAGAGAAGCCTGAAGAGAAACCATTACTAGTTCTGTGTTCTACATCTTTCCATCTGTGTACTGGGTTGATAGCAAATCTTTGCCCTCATGTAATACTGCTTTTTCTGTCTCCAACAGGAATATGTTCCCTGAGAACCTTGTCCAAGCCTGTTTTCAACAGGTAATGAAAAAAAATTTTTGCCTTCCAGTAACTCCCCACTTCCCCTCACCAAATAAGATCTTTTTATTTCTGTTGTGACCCAAGATATGGAATTGGCTGGTCAAAAATGGTGGCAGGAAGGTACGCTTTGAATGGAGGATTTCCCTGGTCTATCAGGTGTGCAGTGAAGTGCATACCTTAGCTTAACCCTGTTCCTTTTCTTCTATGCTTGTTTCCCCAAAAGGGCTCAAACGGAGCAGGGTGGAGGACAATGAATGGCCTCTACCCATCACTGTAGAGCCATGTTGTGTTCATGAAGACGTTTGGATTCTCTGCCATTGCACCACAGTGAAAAGTCGCTCTCCATCTCCTCTTTCCTTTCTCTCTAGTGTTGGGAATCATTATCTAACCTGTGCAGTGGATTTAGGGTACCTAGGATTCCTGGGATTTGATCTCCTCAATCATCACATCCCCATTTCTGAGGCTCTGGGGACAGTGGTGGGTCAGTGGTAGAATTCTTGCCCTCTGTGCAGAAGACCCAAGTTTGATTCCTAGCCAATGCACCCCATGCTCAGCCACCACCTGTTTGTCTATGGAGGCTTGCATGTTACTGTGAAGCTGAACAGGTTTCAGCAGAGATTCCAGAGTCAGACAGACTAGAATGAAAGGCCTGAGATCTCCATTCAAAAATCAGCCAATAAAAATCCTATGGATCACAGTGGTCCGATCCACAACCCATCATGGGAATGCCCAGGACCAGGCAGCGCTTAGTTCTGTGGTGCATGGATGAGCTCACCATGAGTCCAGGGCCAGCTGCAGGGCCAGCAACAACCACAGCAACATCTGGGACTATACAGAACAATGTAATAAAGTCATGATTTTTTTTTCCTCTAGGAAAGTTTTGCAATCTCTTCATTGCATTCACTTCCAGCCTTTTTCTCCTGTGTGTCTAGGTGCTTTAAGACAGCTATCCATAACAAGCAGCTGTGTTCATTTACATCAATCATATGAACAGACCCCTCTGTGTAGACTCAAAAATACTGCGATTCAGTCGCTCACTGCTGATCTCCACAAGGCATAGAATCCCCTCCCCTCTATTTTGGGGGTGCCTTTGCAGTCAGACACAGTGGTCATTTATAAGGTTCTTGGTGTTGGCAAAACCCTAGAGGAGTGACATTCATGCCCGGTGTAATGGCGTACTGGGTCGCTTTTAAACTTCCATGCTGAAGCTCCACAGAACCAAGTGGCTGACGGAAGGGAATTGAAGTCTCACCTGCTGAATAGCCCTAAAAAAAAAATACTGGTTGTGGAACAACCATGTAGTCAGTCTTTGTTTTTTCAGTAAGTTATTTTATTGTTGTTGAGAATATGCACAGCAGGGTATACGCTAATTCTGCAGTCTCTCCATGTACAGTTAACTCAGGGACATTGTGACGTTCTTTGAGTTGGGCATACATTCTAATCCTCCTTTTCTGAATTGCTCCTTCCCCATTTACATAAACTCACTGCCCCCAAAGATTCTTATCTAATATTTGGAGTTGCTTTTGTCAATTTGCTCCGATATAACCAACCCACCAACCCCATTGCCATTGAGGTAGTTCTGACTCATAGTGACCCTTGAGGACAGAACAGAAATGCCCTACAGAATTTCCAAGGCTGTAAATCTTTACGGAAGCACACTGCCTCATCTTTCGCCCATGGAGTATCTAGTTTGTTAGAACCACTGACCTTTTGGTTAGTAGCCAAATGCTTTAACCATTGTGCCACCAGAGCACCTTTGATCCCATATAGATAGATCTTAAAAGAGCATTATGCTCAAGGCAGACAAGTCAAACTTTTCTTGATATTTATTAAAGTCATGGTGACTGCATTTATAAATGATGAGGTGTTATTCTCAGATGAGGAGCACAGAGTTTTTGTTAAGAGTGATGAAAGAATTTGGAAATGGATAGTAGTGATTGTTACACAACGTTGTTGTTAGTGACCATTGAGTTGAATACAACATGGTGCCTGTGATTCATGTCACTGAATCATACATGTAAAAATGATTAAAATGTTTTGCTGCATATATTTCACCAAAATAAAAGTTTTAGAAACAGTGTAGATAACAAAAATGATTGAAAGAACCACTGTGGAGTTTATCAGATTACTTAACCAGGTGCCCTCCACTTGACTTCAACTCATGAGACCCGCATTGTATGTCAAAGTAGAACCGCACTCTATAAGGTTTTCAATGGCTGATTTTTCAGAAGTAGATTGCCAGGCCTTTCTTCCAAGCCTCCTCTGGATGAACTCAAACCTCCAAGCTTTCATTCAGCAGCTGAGCACATTGACCATTTCCACCACCCAGGGACTGTGGGTTCTGACAAACCACCTACAAATAAAACCTACATATTCTTTAGCATTATTGCTTCATCAGTCTGTCCCTTATTATAACAGTGAGAGAACATTCTGGCATTACTGAATAGTGGTTGTAGGGGTCACTGGTTTGGATTTCTTGGTCCATTTCTGGTTCCAAAAACCATGTGATTCATACCATCAAACACGGGAGCCAACAGAGGTATCAGAAGTAGAACCCTTGAGCAGCCCTTGTTTGGCCAAAATAACTTTTTCCTGTGGTTTAGCCTCAGAAGCTTAAAAAAGGTCTCTTTGTGTTTGCTTGTGTTTTTATCCTTCCCCAATGTGCAGTACAAAACCAAGCGTGAAGAAGTGAAGCCTACAGGTGAACCAGAGACAAACATGACGGAAGAGTCCATCACAGCTACCATGACAACCATAGTTTCCAAGGTACTGTTTGCTTCCTTATCTCCTGCTTTCTTTCCCCAGGGTCTGCAAAGTGAATAGTAATACCACATGGGGACAAGAGAGAGCCCTGTTACCTCTCTATCCTCTCTATACCTGACTAGAGTTGGAGATTCTTAGAATTTCATTGGATTTGGAAGGCTACATAAGCATGGAATACAGATCTACAGCTTCTTCTCCAAAACCCTCTGGCCAAAAGAGTTTCTCAAAACATCCTTATCAAAACCCTCTGATGTGAGTCAGACTTTAGAAGGCCATGCACTGTATATACTGTATGCTGTGAAACACCATTATTTGGGATTGGCTATAACAATGCAGAATCAAGTGCAAAATCACAGTATTCCTGCTAAGTGAGAGAAACAAAGACCACCAGTAGCCTTATCTCAGTTCAGGTTAGGTTTTGCCAAGAATTTTCCATAAACTCATTGATAGGCTTTCAGATTTTGGGGCATTTCAAATTGGAGATTAGAAGCTGTGCACCTGAAGTGGTCCATTTTAGGTCTGTAGTAGGTAGGTTTCTCCCTGAATGTCCCCTACCTTCACACAGGATGGGAAGAATTAGGGAAAAAGGAAATATTCATAGACTTAAGAATTCAAGTTCAGTAGACCATGGTAGCCTCCTGCTTCCTCCTGTAGGAGTCCTGAGCCCCCCAGGACCTGATTCCTCTCTGTTTTCTTGGCTTACATCCCAGGGGCCCTCTATCCTGTCCACATCTACCTCCTCAGTTATTCCAGATTCCTGCCTTTCAGTGTGGTTCCACAAGTATTTTCTGAGCCCTCTTTCTGTGTGAGGTCATGCTGGACATTGGGTTACAATAGGGAGAAGACAGACAAGGCTTCTGCCCTCATGTGAAGTGATGAGCGCTACAGTAGAGGAACAGACTGCTCTGGGAAACACCACCAAAAACCAAACCTGTTGCTGTCGAGTCAATTCCAACTCATAGTGACCTTGCAGGGCAGAGTGGAACTGCCCCCGGGTTTCCAAGGCTGTAATCTATGTGGAAGCAGACTGCCAGATCTTTCTCCCACAGAGCAACTGATGGGTTCCAACTACCGACTGTAGTAGTTAAGGTTGTTGTCAGCTTGGCTGGGCCTTGTTGAGTAGCTGGGCAGCTGGATGTAGTCATTCCCCATATGAGACTGGCAATCAGTTCCATGGTGGAATCTCCTGGAGCAGCTGAGTAACTGCTTTAAGGATGTGGGCTGCTTCCAGTATATAAGAAGCAGCTTTGAGGAAGGTCTCCAGCTTTTTGGCGTGCTTGAGCCCTGTATGTAGCCAAGTCGTTGTTCAGCAGCCTGCCATGCCCTGACGATCTTGGGACTTCTTCTGGACTTGAATTAATGGCCTGCCGTGTTGTTTGTAACATTGGGACTGTGCCTTTGTACTTGTCGACCCTGACTTTGTCAGTCTCAGCAGCCAGTAGCTGTCTGAGTGAAGAAAAGCCTCCAGATTCAGTGGGCAGAGCTAAAGCCCAAGGTTGAAGAGTTTCAGCTCCTAGAGCCTAGCACTTTGAATTTGGACTTACAGCCTCCAAAGTATAAGAGAATAAACTCCTGTTTGTTAAAGCCATCCCATTTGTGGTATTTTCTGTTAGAGCAGCACATTGTTGTTGTTATGTGCCCTCAAGTCGGACCTGACTCATAGCGACCCCTCCTTGGGTTTCCAAGGCAGTATCACTACAGAAGTAGATTGCCCAACCTTCCTTCCAAGGAGTGGCTGCCCAACCTTCCTTCCAAGGAGTGGCTGGTGGGTTTGACCCACCAGCCCTCTGGTTAGCAGTCAAGTGCCTTAGGCTCTACGCTACCAGAGCTCCTTTAGAGCAGCACAGAGGTAACCAAAATGCTGACCTTTAGGTTAGCAGTCAGGCGCTTAACCACTGTGCCACCAGGGTTCCTGGGGAACACAACAAGAAGGTTTCAATTCATTTTAGGGCCATGAAGATTGAATCAGAATCATCCAAGTAGGGCAGAGAGGTCCAGTAGATGCATAATAACTTCTGCCTTTGTTGTTGTTGTCATCGAGTCAATTTTGATTCAGAGTTGATCCCATGTAACAATAGAACTGCACGTAGGGTTTTTTAGGCTATAGTTGTTAAGGGAGTAGATCTCCAGGTCTTTCTCCCATAGAGCCGCTGGGTGGGTCTGAGCCACCAACCTTTCAATTAGCAGCCAAGCACTTAACCATTGCATCACTAGGGCTCCTTTGCTATTGCTTATCATATTTCTGGAACATGTTTCCATATCTTGGCTGTCTACTCCTCAGACCTAGCTTTTCCTGACCATGGCAGCCCTCATTCATATCCCCCATCTTTATATAATGCTTGTAAATTACAGCTTGGCTGAGCAGTTAACTCTATCTTGTCATTAGCTTGTGTTTGTCATTGGCTAGACTTGTCTCTCTTGTCTCTCCAGCTGAATATTGAGATCTTAAGCTTTTGCCAGTGCAGTATGCATACTCTAGCTACTCAATAACATCTAGAAGCAATTGGTACCCCACTAGCTAGGCAATATAACTCCTTATAAACCTGATTTGCAGTATTCAGATGATCTCCCTATGGAATCTCTTAGTAAATCTCATGCAGTTTTTACTCTGGATGTAATGAAGAAGCAATTCGTAGTGATAGAACACCACAACTCACTGCCATCAAGTCAGTTCTGACTCATAGCGACCCCTCCTTGGGTTTCCAAGGCAGTATCTATGGAAGTAAATTGCCCAGTTTCCTTCTGAGAAGTGGCCGGTGTGTTTGAACAGCCACCTTTCTGGTTAGCAGTCAGATGGTTTAGGCAGTATACCACCAAAGTTCCCCATAGTGGTAGATAAGCTGGTTAATTTGTTTGAATTACTTCTTTTGGAGGATCCAGCTTAAATCAAAAGATCTTCCAAATTGTCCCCATGTCCCATGACTGGGAAAGAAATATAGCATAAAAAGTACAGAAAATAGGGAATGGGCTAGACTTCTACAACTCATAAATTCCTTTGTATCTTTGAAGAAAACAGATTATGTACTTTCATCTAAAATTCTGCAGTCCTAGCTCCCTAACGTCCTATTGGTTATCCAAGAACATAGGCAGTGAAGACTGTTGTGTGTTCATTGTTGGTGACAACAGATGGTAAAGTGTCCTAAAAAATGTTCATACTGGTAGATATTTTGTACTTCATGCATTACTAATTCCTATCTTTTTTTTTTTTAATGCAGACTCCAAAGGCAGCTTATGGTTAAAATAACCCCAAAAAGTGCCTTGACTCTAAACTTCTTAGTAAAAACGTAACACATTTTAGAATAAGATAAGAATAAGATTTGAAATCTTCAAAAGAAATATTCAAATGTGGACTTTAAATATTATTCACTAAGATTCTCTGTTGAGGGCAGAAAATCTTTATACTTGAATTGAGTGGGTAAAATTTGTTACAAGCACAGCTGGGTTTTTTTTTGTTTGTTTAATCATGTCTCCTAAAGAATTGTTGAATGTGACTGGTCCCCAGTTATTAGATTTGGCTATCATATCTTTTCATTTCAGGGCCTGTGCATTCTAACAAAATTACAAGCACGTGTCAATATATTTTCTTCTTGGCTTCGATCCACAGAACAGAACAAAGGAATACAAAGTAGTGGGCATGTATTCCGATGGCATAAATGTCCTGGGCTTGATTGTCTTTTGCCTCGTCTTTGGAATTGTCATTGGAAAAATGGGAGAAAAGGGACAGATTCTGGTGGATTTCTTCAATGCATTGAGTGATGCAACCATGAAAATCGTGCAGATCATTATGTGGTGAGCAGACTCTGTTTAATGCCATCTTGTGTCCTCTGACAGCTTTGTTTTCCCAAAATTAGAAAGAAAGAGATTATCTTTCTCAACTAACCTGACTCTAGAGAGGCCAAACATTTAGTATCAAGAGACTGAAAAATAAACCAGTTACCATTGAGTCAGTTCCAGCTCAGGGTGGCCCCATATGTGCCAGAATGGAACTGCACTCCACAGGGTTTTATAGGGGCTGACTTTTCAGAAGTTGATCACCAGGCCTTTCTTCCAAGGCACTTCCGGATGGACTCAAACCGGCACAACCTTTCTGTTACAACTAAGTATGTCAACCATTTGCGCCACCCATGGTGCATCAAGACCCTAGATGTTAACTGGTCCCACCTACTGCTTAGGAGTTAGCTCACTAACAGAAGACTAGACATCAGCCACAGCCTTTTCCCCAAAGCCCTGGGAGCTCATTTTGTACCTCACAAGCATTCCCATAAGAAGTTACTTCTTAAAACACAAAGTGCTTTTCTGACTAGGCCCCATGCAGAAGTAATCGTCAAATACGTACAACTTGGGCCCTCATCCATCTGGACACATCAGTGGCACCACCCCAATATCTGCCCTGTCCCTGGAGATGCCAGGAAATCCACCTTTCCTAGGACAACTTTGCCCACTCATCTCACACTGAATTAGTTCAACATTATTTACTTGGTGTGGACAGTGACGCAAAGGGTTCGTGAAACCACCAGTTATTGGAGTCAGTAAGTCACTTCATTCTGCTAAACCTCAGCTACATCATCTGTGAAAAGGACCATAAAACCTACTGCCAACTCCCAGGGTTGGGAGAAGGATATTAAATGAAATGAGGCATGCTAAAATACTGAACCCCATGCAAAGTGTGCAGTAAGTGCTGCACAGATAGGGCCATTACAACAACTGCCACTGCTAATCCTTTACATCGATGGCTGATACTAACCACTACCGTCAAGTTGATTTCAATTCATGGAGCCCCCATGTGTATCAGAGTAGAACTGAGCTCCATGGGGTTTTCAGTGGCTGGTTTTTCAGAAGTAGATCACCAGCCCTTTCTTCCAAGGTGTCTGGGTGGACTGGAAGCTCCAGCCTTTGGTCAACAGCTAAATACATTAACTATTTGCACTACCCAGGGATGCTTGCTAATATGACTACTTGGGAAACAAGATGATGTGGCTACAAAGAGCTGAGTGTCCATATTTGGAGGTGAGGGTCAAGCTAAAGTGAGACGTTCACAGACAATCAGCAGGATGTTTGTGAACTGGGAACACCAGTCTGGCCCCACATTCTTGCCACATTTGTCCCGTATAGTAGGTGGGATGGTAGACATTAAGGTGCACACGAGTACTGAAAACTGGAGCCAGCATAGTCACCCAGGGCTCAAAACTGAGATCTGGGTTTTGTGATGTACTGTGGCCCTCCTGGCTGGACACACGTGCCAAGCTGAGTGTGCACTGTGCCCTGATATGCTTCTGCCCCAATATCCCCAGCTGAGAAACACCCAGTCATGATGCACATCTTTGCTGTGCTTATTTTCCAGTTACATGCCACTCGGAATTCTGTTCCTGATTGCTGGGAAGATCATAGAAGTCGAAGACTGGGAAATATTCCGCAAGCTGGGCCTGTACATGGCCACAGTGCTGAGTGGGTATGTCCCATAACCCTCACTTGATTTAGTGGACACACCAAGAGGGTGGGCTTCAGCTGGTTAAGATGGGCTTCCTTCCTGTGTACAAGGGAAGGTGGAACTCAAGGAGAAGAGCATGGGGTAGGGCTGCCCTGCAACAGCTGTGCTGGGAGCAGATCACACCATGCTCCCTATCAGTGCTTGGCAGAACAGCCTAGGCCAACCTCTGTTCCCGCCTGTATTTGTTAAAATTGTTGTTTCAAACAAGGGCAAAACCTTCTTGGATCCTCTGTTGGTTCTCTCCTGGCCTTGCTTCCTTGAGGATGTAAACCAGGTAAGCATAAAAGAATGGTCCCACATACCCTGAGCCTGAAAGAAATGAAAAAACCATCAGGTTAATTCTGACTCACGGTGACCCCATGCTTGTGCTCCCTGGGTTTTTGTTAGCTGATTTTTGGAAGCAGATCACTAGGCCTTTCTTCTGAAACCTCTGGGCGGACTCGAATCACCACCCTTTAGGTTAGCAGCCAAATGCTTTAACTGAGTCGAAAGAAATTAGGCAGGGCCTAGATGAAATCAGACTCCAGCAAGTAAAAGCAGGATGACTGGTGTGGTAGTTAAGGTTGTGTGTCAACATGGCTGGGCCTGGTTTTGAGTGGCTGGGCAGCTGGATATAGTTATTACCCATGGTGAGACTGGTAATCAACTCCATGGTAAAATCTACTGTGGCAGCTGAGTAGCTGCCTTAAGGATGTGGTCTGCTTCCAGTATATAAGCAGAAGCTTGAAGAAGGTCTCCAGCTTTTGGTGTGCTTGAATCCTGCATGTAGCCAAGTCTTCATTTAACAGCCTGCTGTGTTTCCTGCCAATCTTGGGACTATCTCTGGACTTGAACTAGTGGCCTGCCATGTTGTGTAGTAATATTGGGTCTGTGCCATTGTATTTGTCAACCTTGGGTTTGTCAGCCTCAGCAGCTAGCAGCTGCCTGAGTGAAGAGACACCTCTAGCTCCAGTGGTCTGGGAACAAGAGGCAGAGCTGAAGCCCAAGGTCAAGGTGCTTTCACCTAGCCCCTAGAGCTGGCACTTTGAACTCGGACTCCTAGCCTCCAAAATTGTAAGAGAATAAACTCCTGTTTATTAAAACCACCCATTTGTAGTATTTTCTGTTAGAGTGGCACAAAGTAATAAAAACAACTGGTTAGGTCAAACTCTGTGTCATAGAAGGACTGCCATGGCTTGAATCATCAGTGTGTCCAGGAAGATGTGGGAACATCTTCAGGCTAGTAGGTAGTGTGGGGGACTGCAGGGGATGGGGTCATTTCTATGTCCATTACATCCCAGTTACTGCTTCCTTGAGAGGAGAAGTATTGGGAAGGTTGTGAATGGTACTCTTGTAACACCAAGCCTGGGGCAGGAGACATCACATGAGCTGAGAAATACTGACCAAGGGAATGAGGAAGTATCACCAATTTGATGCCCACAGGTCAATACCCCATACACCCAACTTGAGTAATCTAACCACATATCAGAAGGGAGTTTCCATTGGCCGGCCTTTATTTCTTAATGGGTGTTTACAAAAAGCACAGCCCGGCCAGCCAACCCAGAAGCAGCCTGGGTTCCTCCAGTGCAAGGGCTGGAACCAAGTCAGATGGGAGAGAGGCAGGACCACTGACCTCTTTAGAGGCTGGCCCTGCTGTGAAGCTGCCAAAACAGGTGGGACCAGGAGCTTGTCTAGCAGGGATGTGTTGAGGTTGTGTTATGCCAACCCATTTCATGATGGATTTATGCTTCTATTCACTCACCCTGTCTGGGTTTCTATGGACACTCTGGGTGGCACGAATGGTTAAGCACTGGACTAATAACTGAAAAGTTGGCAGTTCAAAGGCATACAGCAGTGCCTCAGAAGACTGGACTGGTTATCTGCTTCTGAAAAGTCACAGCCTTGAAAATGCCCTGGAGCAGTTCCACTCTGCATCCACAGGCTCACCATAGGTCCAAATCAACTTGGTAGCACGGATGACAACAGCATCTACTATGATAGTTCCTCAAGATTCTGAACCACAGCTCTCCATGTAGGAGACCCTCTCTCCAAGCCCCCAGTGTTCCACATGAATGGTCATTTCTTTTTTTGAAGTTGATTCCAAATTACAGCAATCTTTGTGTGTGTATGTGTGATTTGAGTAAAAGTTTACAGAGCAAATTCACTTTCCATGCAGCAGTTCACATACACGTTGTCTGATGACAGTGATAGTTTACCCCAATGCAACACCTCCCCTCCCACTTCCTCCCAATAGTTATCTCTTCCCTGTGTCCATCCCTCCATGCACTCCTGCCCCCTGAACTGTCTCCCTGTGCATAAGTAGCCCTTCTTTCTCCCATGATTGTTCTCTCCAAGGGATGTATCTACCTCAGGTACATGTTCATCTCTTATGCCTGTCTTTTATTTGACTGGAAGCCACAGGTGTGGGTTCAATTCCAGACCTGAAGGGCAGCTAGGGACCATAGTCTCAGTGGTTCTACCAAGCTCTATTAGACCAGGAAACCTGGTCTCCTTTTTTTTTTTTTTTTTTTCCAAATGATTTTGAGTTTTGTTCCACATTGTTCTCCCTCTCTATCCAGATGAAATGACCATTTCTTACTATTTCAGCCTCATGCACTTGATCTGTACACCTCAGGTTGCCACTTAAATATACAAGCCATCTAGCAAAGCTGTCTCATTTCTTTAAAAAAAAATTCATTGTGGAAAAATGTATATAACAAAAATCTGCCATCTTGAAATTTTGGGAAAGGATAATGGTAATTGTTTATCAACATGATACACATAACTAATGTCACTGAATTGTACATGTGAAGAATGTTGAATGGGCAAATGCTTTGCTGCATATATATTTACCACACCAAAAACAAAATCATAATTTTTTTAAGAGAGAAGAAAAAAAAGTTTGCCATCTATTTTGGTTCTCTAATGCTGCTCTAATAGAAACGCCACAAGTGGATGACTTTAGCAACAGGGATTTGTTCTCTTACAGCTTAGGAAGCTAGAAGCTCAATTTCAGAGTGCCAGCTTTAGGGACTGGATGAAGGCCCCTTGACCTCAGGCTTCAGCTTTGCCTCTTGCTCCCAGCCCACTGGAGCTGGAGGTGTCTCTCCACTCAGGTGGCTGCTGACTGCTGAGGCTGACAAACCCAAGGTTGACAAGTAAAACAGCATAGTCCCAAGATTATCAAACAACATAGTAGGTCACTGTTCAAGTCCAGAAACAGTCCCAAGATCGCCTTGCAATATGGCAGGCTGCTGAATGAAGACTCAGCTACATGCAGGATCCAAGTGTGCCAAAAAGCTCAAGACCTTTCTCAAAGCATTTTCTCAAAGCATTTTCTTATATACTGGAAGCTGCCCTAAGGCAGCTACTTAGCTGCTCACAGGAGATTGCACCATGGAGTTGATTACCAGTCCCATCATGGGGAACAGCTACATCCAGCTGCTTAGCCTCTCAAAACCAGGCCCAGCCAAGTTGACACACAATCTTAACTACCACACCATCTTAGCCATTTTTAAACCAACGAGTCAGTGACATTCATTACATTCATTATGTTAGGCAACCATCAACACTATGCATTTCCAAAAGTCTTTCATCACCTCAGGCAGAAACTCAAGACCCTTTAAGCAAAGATTTCCCAATCTCCCCTTCCTTCAGCCCCTGGTAACCACTAATCAACTTTAGTCTCTATGAATTTACCTATGCTAGGCTAGGTAAATCACCATATGATCCTCTAAGTGGGATCATACGGTGTCTATTGTGTCTGACGATTTCATGCAGCAGAATGTATCCAAGTTCATCCATGTATCATGTAGCAGAACTCCATTCCTCTTTGTGGCTGAATAATATTCCAGGGTATCTATGTACCACATTTTTATTGTGGCAAATATATATGTACGTATCTATATACAACAAAACATTTGCCATTTCACCCTTCTTCACATGTGCAATTCAGCAACATTCATTACATGCATCAGGTTGCACAGCCTTCACTGTCATTTCCACATTGTCTCACCCCTAACAGAACCTCAGTGCCCCTGAAGCAATGACTCCCTCTTTATACCATTAATCTATGAATCCTGCTCATCCATTAATCAGTTAATGGACACTTGGGTTGTTTCAGTGTGTTGGCTCTTAGGAATAATGCTGCAGTGAACACTGTTGTATACAGGTATCTGTTTGAGTCTCTGCTTTCAAGCCTTTGGATATATATATATATATATATATATATATATATATATGTCTATATATATATATATATATATACCATCTCATTTCTTAAAAGAGTCCTAGTGGCACAGTGACTAAGCACTTGGCTGCTAACCAGAATGTTGGAGGTTTGAACCCACCAGCTGCTCCACAGAGAAAGCTGTAGCAACATGCTTCTGTAGAGATTACAGCCTTGGAAAGCCTATGAGGCCATTTCACTCTGTCCTATAGGGTCATTATGAATCAGCATTGATTCAATGGCAATGGGTTTGGGCACTTTTTCTTTTTTTTCTTTTTGGTTTTCATTCCTTAAGTCCCCTATTTTGTGTAACGTGTATTTCCATGTGAAACAAATAATATTGGAAGGCAGGAATAATAAAAAAGGGTCAGTCCTAAAGCATGACTGTAGAAACCAGGGACTTCTTCCTTCCTGAGACCCTGTCTTCACTCATGTGGTACAGGACAGGGAGAGGTGATGCTGGGTAATAGCTATCATGGGGCTTGGAGGGGGCACAGAGGACATGAAGGAGGGAAGACTCCATGTGGGAAGCTGAGGGAAGGCTTACGGACTAGGGGGCTATAGCTGTCATACAGTCATTTACAACTCAGAGTGACCCATGTGCCTGATGGGATGCCTCACAGGGTTGTCTTGGCTATACACTTAATGGAAGCAGATCACTGGGCCCTTCCCCCATGGAGTTGCTAACCGTTTGTTTAGCAGCCAAGTGCTTAACCATTGTGCCGCCTTAGAAGAGGAGTAAGAAGTCAGCAGGAAAAGAAGGAAGCAAAGAGCATTGGAGATCACAGGAGTAGCACACGCAAGGGTCAGCAGCATCACGTAACTGCATTCTGAGGAGTCTGAAATTGAAATTCATCTACTCACTTTGCCAGCAACTTTGACAGAATATTTAGTTTGCTAAGCTTCAACATTCTTAAATGTAGACCGGGGGAGCAAAAATGCCTGCCCTTTTCTCCTTGGGTCATGATGAAGGTTGAATGATACCATGAATAAAAAAGGTGGTTGAGAAAAGGATGGAGTATGAGAAGGTGATGTTACCTCTGAACTTGTCCTCTCCCATCTGTAGGCTTGCAATCCACTCCATCGTCATCCTCCCACTGCTGTACTTCATAGTCGTACGAAAGAACCCTTTCAGATTTGCCATGGGAATGGCCCAGGCTCTCTTGACGGCTCTCATGATCTCTTCTAGGTAAGTAGAAGAAGGCTTTCTGGAAGAAGCCTCATCAACTCCTCCTCACTTGATGGCTCTAGCTTTTGGTTCTTGTAGCTAGCTGCCTCTCATTCCAGAAATGACCTTCATATTCTCTGCCCCTCTGTCCTTGAACATGTTTCCTTGCCCTTTTGAGTACTTCCTGCCTTCTTGGCATGGCTTGCAGTCCAAGAACAGATTGTGTTCTTTTTTTTTTTTTAATTTTAAGAGCTTGTTTTACATTCAACGTTACATGTACATTTAGTTTGAACAGGTTGTGTTTTAACTGGGAGCAGTGGCAGGCATAGAATCTTCTGGTTCCTGAAGCCATGTTCTGACAGCAGTGCCAAGCATGCTTGGGTTCTGTTTAGTTTTTGGAAGGGAGGTATCTCCTCAGGCAGGGCTGAGGACCCACAGAACTACTCCATTATTCCTCCCTCCTTTAATCACACAGCTCAGCAACACTGCCTATCACCTTCCGCTGTGCTGAGGAAAAGAACCAGGTGGACAAGAGAATCACTCGATTCGTGCTACCCGTTGGGGCCACCATCAACATGGATGGGACTGCGCTCTATGAGGCAGTAGCTGCCGTGTTCATCGCACAGTTGAATGACTTGGACTTGGGCATTGGGCAGATCATCACTATCAGGTGGGACATGGATCACACTCTTTTCCATCACTCTCACTGGGGTTGCCTCATGTTAAAGTGCTCTGAGAAGGGAGACACGGAACAGTCCAGTGGTGGGTTATTTACCTTGGCCTGCAGAGTCTCTCCCCAAGGTTAAATGCAGGTAAGGTAGAAGTATAGGGATCATGGAACTTAAGATCTGCTTCAGGATCTGGTCAACCAAGGGCATTGCTCTCTTCTTAATGCAATGCACCCAGTAGGTGCTAGGCACAGAGTAGGGTTGAATAAGGGCCAGTCTCTGCTTTCAAGGGTTCCCAGTAGAGGAGGGATACCAAACCAAAAACCAAACCAGTTGCCATCAAGTCAATTCTGATTCATAGTGACCCTGGTGCTGCAGAGTAGAACTGCACTCTCATAATATTTTCATGACCGTGACAAGGCTGTGACCAGGAAATCATCAGGCCTTTCTCCCAAGGTGCCTCTGAATAGGTTTAAACCACCAGCATTCTACTTAGTAGGCAACCACTTAACCATTCACACCACCCAGCAACACAGGTGGAAATAATAGCTACTAAAATGACTGCTGAGTGGTGTGATAAAAGCTATAGAATTTGTATGAAGACAAAAGAGAGCACCAAGGAGGTCTACCTGGAGGAGGGGGATATCATCTGAGCCTGAGAGGAGGGGTAAGAACTCAGCATGAGAAGAAGGAAGTGAGGAGCATTTTGGGTAGCAAGAGTACCAGCTACTGGCCTTGGCAGTATGATGTAACCACGACTTGGTTACAGAGTATAGATTTTCTGGTAAGGCTGGCATAAACAGCCCAATGTGGAGAACGTGAGGAATGAGGCATGCAAAGCATGAAAGGCTTTGCATGAAGAGCTCATGGAAGCATCTCGGTCAATGTAGTATGATGGGCAGATTTGCATTTTGGGAAGGAATGGCATTATGATGGATGGATGCGGAACCTCAAGCTGGGAGACCAGTTATCCAGATAGCATATCAAGGCCTACATCAAAGTGCTGATGGGATGGGGATGAAGGGAGGTAATTAATTTGGGGGACATCAGTTGAAAGCAGAAGGGTGAGAGGTAGGGGAAGGCTAGGGTGACTCTCAGGTTTCTGGATTGGTGGATGGTGTTTACACCAGAACAGGGACTATTGTATAAAAGAAATTTAGGAGGGAAGATAAAGAATTCATATTTTTGATACATAGAATTTTAATGCCTGGAAGACAGCCATGTGGACATACACAGCTGGCAGTGAGAAATGCAGGTCTGGACTGAAAATGCAGATGTGAGGGTCATCAGCATGATGGTGGTCATTCAGCACACAGATCAGGAGTCCGTTGTCTGTGTCTGAATCTCAGCTACATCAGTTCTATGACATTGGCCAAGTTACTTGAATGTCCTAAGTTTCTGTTTTCTCACCTGTAAAATGAGAATAATAATAGTGGCCCCTTCCCCCCCCAAAAAAAACACCCACTTAAGAGCTGTCTGAGGGCAGTGGTGGTTCAGTGCTAGAATTCTTGCCTTCCATGTGAGAGACCTGGATTTGATTCCTAGCCAACGCACTTAATGCATAGCCACCACTCATTGTCAGTGGAGGTCTGTGTGTTGTGATGATGCTGAACAGGTTTCAGTGGAGCTTCCAGACTAAGATGGAGTAGGAGGAAAGGTCTGGCAATCTACTTCCAAAAATCAGTCAGTGAAAACACCGTGGAACACAAGAGTCTGATCTGTAACTGATCATGGGGTTGGCACAGGACCAGACAGTGTTTTGTTCTATTGTGTGTAGGGTCATCATGAGTTGGGGGCTGATTCAACAATAGTTAACAACAACATTATATGTGAGCGTTGTTGTTGTTGTTATGTGCCGTTGAGTCGGACCCGACTCATAGCGACCCCTCCTTGGGTTTCTGAAGCAGTATCACTACGGAAGTCGATTGCCCAACCTTCCTTCTGAGGAGTGACTGGTGGGTTTGAACCTCCGGCCTCTGGTTCAAATGCCTTAGGCACTATGCTACCAGAGCTCCTTTATATGTGAGTAGTGAGGTGTAGGTCAGATGGAACAGTGAGCACTCACTAAACAGTAGGAATGGATGGCATTTCATTGAAGAGAAAAAAAGAAGACTAAGGCCTGAGCCTGGAAAATCCTAATATTAGCAGCAGGAAAAGAAGGGGGAGTTGGAGAAGGAGAGAGAAGAGGAACAGAGAGTGGCAGAAGAACTGGGAAAACACGATGTCATGGAAACCAAGCAAAGGGAGATTTCCAAGGATGAATGGTCAACCGAGTCAGTTACTGCAGAGAATGCTAGTCACATGAGGACTGAAAATTGCCCACTCAAGTAGAAGTGAAAATGTCATTAATGAGTTTTGCTAGTGATGTTGTTCTCATCCAACACTGGTCCAATATGGCAGCCACTAGTCATTCATTAAATAAAAAATTCATTCTTTCAGTTGCCCTCAGAGCCAGCTTCCTGGGCATAAAACCTGGGCAGTTACACAGGACCCTACACTTACTTAAACTTGTTTTAATGCTTTGCCATCTTCATCTTCAAATTATTAATAACTTTTGAACAAGGGCCCACAGATTCCATAGCTCATCCTGGTTGGCCCAGCTATAATCTAGGTGGTCAATAACCACTTATGGCTAGTGACTACTGAATCAGACAGCAAACATGAGACATTTCTGTTATTGCTGAAAGTTCTGTCGGATGGTGTGGTTTTGAGGTGATAGGCTTGGAGGAGATGTAACCTGGAGGCTGAGTTCAGTTTAGAGTGGAAGTTTAAGACTAGACCAGGTCCCTAAACCTGTTCCAGATTGAGTCTGAACTATTAGATTAATTTACTCTTGTGTCTCCAGCATTTGGCATAGGCATATGTTTTTGGTATAAAGAATGTCTTGAGTTAATTAGCAGTGTTCTAATACAAAACTAAACCCACTGCCATCGAGTCAATTTCGACTCATAGCAACCCCCATTGGATTTCAAGGCGGTAAATCTTTATGGAAGTAGATTGCCCCATCTTCCTTCAGCAGAGCAGCTGGTGAGTTTGAACCACCAGCCTTCTGGTTAGCAGTCAAATGCCTTAGGCAATGCACCACAAGAACGCCTGTGTTCTAATACAGTGCATTTTAAATCCTTCCCACCCCTAAATCATAGCGCCTAAGGCACTTGACTGCTAACCATAAGGCTGGCGGTTCAAACCCACCAGCCACTCCTCAGAAGGAAGGTTGGGCAGTCTACTTCCATAGTGATACTGCCTCGGCAACGCAAGGAGGGGTCGCTATGAGTTGAGACCAACTCGACGGCACTCAACAACAACAACCCCTAAATCAGAGTATTTATTGCTATTTGCTTGAAATTGACTGAAGACAGATGCAAGTAGACCATTTGGCACATCAGGTGGGGAACTATACTATACTACATTATACTACACGGATGCTGTGTAATCTGCAAAAAGTGTCAGTGGCTAGAGAAGCCCATGCCAAGAGAGCTTGAATGAAGTCCTATAGTTGGAACAGTACAGAGTGATTAAAATAGAAACCTTGAGTTAGGTCTGAGAAAGTTTGAGTTCTAGCATTGTTACTTTTACACTTCCAAGGAGTGCATTTTCTTACCCCTCACCTTGGCCTGAGGATCCCAGTCCACACTGGCCTGATTTCTAGTGCACTATTAAATGAGGTGCCAGTTCTTTGGAGTATTTGCCCCCTTACAATGAATTCCTTCCCTCTGACTTAGTCAGGAGCCCTTGTGGTGCAATGGTTAAGTGCTTTTAGCTAGACAAATTGTTAGCAGTTCCAACCCACCAGCTGCTTTGCAGGAAAAAAATATAAAGATTGACAGCTTTAGGGGGTAGCTCTACTCTGTCCTATAGGGTCACTATGAGTCTGAATTAATTCCATGGCACACAACAACAACAACTGGCCCAGAGTCAGTAACAACACCTGTGAGGCCCAGAGTAATCATTGACTTAAAAAATCCTCTCTGGCTGTATGTGGGAGAGAACAAGATAGTAAGTTATTTTTAACTTTATAGGTTACACTTATGGCTCATGTGGCTAATGGATGAAGAAATTGTTAGACCCTTGGTATAGCTCTTTCTGTGGTCTCTTTGGACTAGACATCAACGAAACATAGACTCTATCCTCCTAAAACATAACCCTTTTGTAGCTTTATTATAATAGGCACTTATCAAAGATTAAGGAGCTCTGGGTGCATAGTGTCTAAGGCATTTGACTGCTAACCAGAAGGCTGACGGTTCAAACCCACCAGCCACTCCTCGGAAGGAAGGTTGGGTAATCTACTTCTGTAGTGATACTGCCTTGGGAACCAAGGAGAGGTCACTATGAGTCGGATCCAACTTGAGGGCAGTGGGTTTTTATCAAAGATTAAAGGTGATTGAACAAGGGATAGATTTTTTTATAATGAAAGATAATTATAGGATTGGGGGCCTAGAGAAACCTTAGAGAAAAAAAAATAGTAATAGTAGTAGCAATATTAGTACTTGTAGTAGTAGTAATAGCAGCAGCAGTTATTGTAGTAATAATAGTAATGGTTGTAATTGTACTAATTATAGCAGCAGCAATAGTAGTAGTTGTAATAATAGTATCAATAGCTGTAATTGTTATCATAGTAAGAGTAGAAGTAGCAGTTGTGGTTGTGGCAATGGCAATAGTATTAGTAGCAATAGTAGCGGTGGCAGCAGTTGTAGTAATAGTAGCAGTAGTTATAATTGTAGTATTAAGAGTAAAAGTGATACTTAGGTTGTAGCAATGGTAATAGTAGTATCAATAGTAGCAATAATAGCAATTGTTGTAGTAATAGTGGCATTAGTTAAATTATAATAATTGTAACAGCAGCAATAGTAGTCATAGTAATAGTATCCATAGTTATAATTGTAGAAGTAAAAGTAGTTGTGATTGTAGTAATGGTAATAGTAGTAATATCAATCATAACAATGGCAATTGTTGTAGAATAATAGCAGCAGCAGCAGCTGTTGTAGTAATAGAAACAGTAGCAGTTGTAATAATAGTAGCAGTAGCAGTTATAGTAATAATGGTTGCAGCAGTTGCTATTGTTGCAGTAATAATAGTTGTGCAGCAACAGTTGTGGTAATAATGCTAGCAGTAGCAGTTGTAGTAATAATGGTAGCAGCAGCTCTTACTGTTGCAGTAATAATAGTAGCAGCAATTGTTATTGTTGCCGTAATAGCAGCAGCAGCTGTTGTAGTAATAATAGCAGAAGCAGTTGCTGTAATAATAGTAGCAGTAGCAGTTGTTCGCTATTGTTGTAGTGATGGTAGCAGCACGATGGTAGCAGCAGCAGTAGTTGTGATAATAGTAATAGAAGTAGTAGCTGCCACTGCTATTATAGGAACAGCACCAGAAGTGGCAGTGGTGCTTAAGCCCCAACTGTAGAGAATATACCCAGATGCTATCCTGGATGCCTTACATCTTCACAGCAGCCCCACAGAACAGGCAGCATTATCCCTATCTCACAGGTGAGGGGCTGAGATGCAGAGAATAGGCATAAGGAAACGCTATCAGTAGAACAGCAGAGCAGGAGTATAACCCAGGTCTGTCTGTGCATAGTCTAGTACACCCCAGCCTCTGACCTGCTTGGAGAGCTGAGTTAAACGGACTGTTGGAAGACTAGCCCTCAGGACAAGGAAAGAACCTCTCACAGCAAGTAGTGTTTTTCTGCTGTGAAAACTCTTGAGTCAGAATATGCTGGAGCAGCAGGAATAGGTTTGCATCCTGTTTTGCCCATCTGAAGATTTATAGGACAGTACTGTAATATAGGAGTCCCCAGGTGGCTCAAATAGTTAAGTGCTCAGTTGCTAGCCAAAAGATTGACCGAAACACCCAGAGGCATCTTGGAAGATAGGCCTGCTGATTTGCTTCCAGAAGGTCACAGTCTTGAAAACCCTATGGAACAGTTACCATGAGTTGTAATTGACTTGACAGCAAAACAACAACCAAACAAAAACCCATTGCCATCAAGTCAATTCTAACTCATAGCAACCATATAGGACAGAGTAGAAAACAGACCTGCCAAAGCACTCAGGCCTATGTCTGTCCCCTCAGATACCATCTGTGACACATGACAGGCAGGTAAATGGGCAGCAAAACCAGATGTGGGAACTCTGAGGCTTTCTTACCCCCACAGAATATGGATTTTGGATAGAATCAGATTCTTCTAGTTTAAATCAACAACTTCTTCACCTTCACCTTTCAACTTAGTGGCATCCTCACGGGAGTTCAGGCCTTGGCCCGAGGGTGAAGATGTATCTTCAGAAAGGAAGGAGGGTGTTCCCTAGCTCATCCAGGTCAGGGCCTTTTTAAAGCATGGTGAGCCCCAGCTTTCTACGGAATGACCCCATAGAAATAAGGAAGATGTTACTTATGAGAAGCTACATGTTTGGAAGGAAAAAATCCCAAGTGCCATATATTACCTACCCAAAGGGGGTCTTTAAAATGGATTGTTGTTGTTGTTGTCAGCCGCCATGAAGTCAGCCCCCAACTCATGGTGACCTCATGCACAACAAATAAAATGCTGCCTGGTCCCATATCATCCCCACGATCAGCTACAGTAGGCCCATCATGATCATAGGGTTTTCAGAATTGGCTGATTTTCAGAAGTAATTTGCCAAGCTTTTCTTCCTAGTCTGCCTTAGTCTGGAAGCTCCACTGCAGCCTGCTCAGTGGCACAGCAACACACAAGCCTCCACTGACAGACCACTGCTGGCTGTGCGTGCGGTACATCGGCTGGGAGTCAAACCGAGGTCTCCTGCGTGGCACACAAGAACTCTACCATTGAATCCCAGAGTCCCATTCAGTCATTTGTAATAAAGGTCATCTGCCTGCCTCTCCTGAATTCCAGCTCTTTTTCCCTTTTGCACAATGGACCTCTAGTGGCACTGTGGTTAAGGCATTGGGCTGCTAACCAAAAGATCAACGGTTCAATCCCACCAGCCTTTCCATGGGAGAAAGATGAGGTAGTCTGCTCCCATAAAGATGAAACCCTATGGGGGTTCACTTCAAGTCAGAATCAATTCGATGGCAGTCAGTTTCCTTTTGCACAAAGCGTATCCATTGTCAAAAAGGCACAGTCAGGAATAAACACTTGAACCTTGGACAGGAGACAGAGGTATTTCTCACTTCAGTGCTCTAAAGAGCAGCTCCTAGAGAAGTCAGAAGCCTGATGATGTCAAGAAAGAGCATAAAACTCATTCCTCTACCCTCACCTGAAGTGCCCTTGCCCATCTACCCTAGCACTCTCCCTCTTAAAAAAAAAAAAAAAAAAAAGTTGTTGTCAAGTTGAAGCCAACTCATGGTGACCTCATGTGTCAGAGCTCCATAGGATTTTCAGGGGCTGATTGTTAGAAGTAGATCATCAAGCCTTTCTTCTAAGATGCCTTTGAACGGACATGAACCTCCAGTCTTTCATTTAGAAGTTGAATGAGTTAACCATTTACACCCAGGGACTGCTACCACTATCCTTCTACTCAGTGTTAAGCTCCTGGAATGTTTTGGGTACCCAGTGAATGACTGGGGGATAGGTGAGTAGATGGAAGAAGGGAAGAAGAAACCAAGTTGATAGGTACCTGGCACTTATTTTGGATGGATGGATGGATGGACAGACAAACGGATGGATGGACAACTGGGTGGATGGATGGGCAGATGGGTGGATGGGTGGATGGATGAAACCTTCCATAAGCATCCTAATTGGTATACTCTTGCCTTCCTCTTGAATATCTCTTTTGCTAATTTTTTGTTGTCACTTATAGTTCTGCTCTGTCTTGTTTTATGGTGATTTGCCATGTCTCCCCCTGTAAGGAGATGGCCTCAGACTTGTCTTGGTCCCTAAAGCTCTCATCCTACAGTAAGGCACAGCTGATGACTATAATTGCCAGTTTCATGTGGCCGTGTGGGAGGACATAGCAGTCACAGCTGTTGGGACTAACAGTTCCATGGAGGGAGAAATGGATGTCTGACTCCTTTCCTCCTGTGTGTTCTGGCTACAGTGTCACAGCCACAGCTGCCAGCATAGGAGCTGCTGGCGTGCCCCAGGCCGGCCTGGTGACCATGGTGATTGTGCTGAGTGCTGTGGGCCTGCCCGCTGAGGATGTCACCCTCATCATCGCTGTTGACTGGCTCCTGTGAGTTGGAAAAATATGCTGCCTTGGCCAAACAGGAAATGGGGCTTCCTAGCTGTGCAGAATCCACAGTCTGTCATCACCTCTCCCCAGATTGCCTAATGAGCCATCTGCTGGGGCTTCCATTTCCCTGCCCAGGCCATCTGATAACGTGCTTAAAAATTAACTCCCCATAACGCTAACCAGTGATTTAAAAGCTCATTATACTTGGTTAGTGCTCAAGGCTGGGAGCTGGGTGTGGGATGAGATAAACATGGAATCTCAAGGTGAAGAAGCTGGGCAAGGCTCCAGGTATTCAGAACCCCATCAGCCATGCTAGCCTACCCCAGCCCTGGTTTAGAACCATCTGGTTCAAAATCAGCCCACTTCCCAAATATTTTCAGAACCATCAAGAGAAGTGGCAGGAGCAAGGGCCTTGCAGTAAGACTAACTTGAGATTGAGTTCCCATCCCTTGAGGAAGTTCCTTACCTCTCTGAAGTTCAGTTGCATTATCTGTGAAATGGGAATGATTTTGTTGACCTCATTGGGCTGTTGTAAGGACTAGATGAGCTAATGAGAATGGGGTATCTAGAACAGTGACTGGCAGATAGTAGTATCTCCTCCATAAATGACAATTTTTAGTGTTAAGGTTACAGTGAGTTGGACTTCTGGCCTCCCAGCCAGTCTATTTCTGCCTCTCTCCCTCCCTCCCTCTCTCTCTCTCCTTCTCCCTCTTTCTCTCTCTCTGTCTCTCTCTCTCTCTCTCACACACACACACACACACACACAAGCAGCTAAGGAACACAATGGAACAGCTGAGTGAGTGCATGTCTCTGCAACTCCAAGGTTAAGGTTAGAACCAGCTTGTCCCCAACTTTATCTCTGATGCCCACTTTGTGCGTTGGTCTCCAGCATCTAGGTCTGGCTCCATCTCCTACTGTGAGCTCCATGCTGAACTTTCCCTCAGAACCAGCTCAGACTTATTGGGGAACATGGTTTGCAATATGGCAGCTGAGGTGGAGGGGAAGGATGTAAGAATTTTCCACATGGGTTTGAAGATATAGAGTCACGTCCAGAAAGCAGAAGCCCCTACCCCTGGCTTGGAGGCTGTACCGTGTAGAGCCCCCTCATCAGCTAGCTGAGTCTACAAGCCCCAACCATGGGGGCCCCTTATTGCAAAGGTGGCTATTAAGGGAGATATGTGGATTTTTCTGTCTAGTGGTGATGATGATTTGTATTTATCTTCTTTCCCCATTCTTCCTGGAACCAGTGACCTTCATTTCCAAGCTATGCAGATGAGCCAAAGGTCCAGTCTGAGGTCAAGAGATAAAATATACCCATACCAGGGGCCAGTCCAATCCACGGCCTGTTCTCCATTAACAAAGGGGCATCTGGACTGTACATGTATAAGCATTGTTGGCCTTTACTGACCTGCTGGTGTAGTTTTCACAAGAATATTCATGCACACAGTTCCTGTCAACCTATATCCAGAGTCAAAATAGCCTCCTTCTGCAGTGTTCTTTCTCTGCACCAGCCTTCAGGCTGTCAGAGTGAAGACAAGTGTGCCTCAAGGAAAAATCCATTCCTTGCTGGCCTGTGTCCCCTGACCTGCACTCTGCCATGTTCCTGCTGGCTTGCACATAAACAGAGCAGCCTGGCTGGTAAAGAAATGAGTCCACCAGGGGTACACAAAAACATATGAGACACTCAGGCACACGTGCCTCCCCTTGCACACATACCATCACACAGAGCACCCAAGTTCTCTCCAAGGAGAACCCACAATGCTGTTCTTATTGAATCAGGAAGACCCACAAGACAGAGGTTAGAGGGAAAGACTTACTGAATGTTAACCATGCCTCGGGTCCTAAAATATCTGTGAAGACTTTATTCACATTTATTTGAGAGGAGGTATCTTAGTTTCTTAGTGCTATAACACGAACACTACCAGTGTGTAGCTTTCAAGAACAGAATTTATTTCCTCAGACTTCTGGACTCTAAAAGTCCAAATCAGAGTCTCAGCTAATTTCTTCTTGTTGATAGCTCTGGGGGTTCCTTGACAGTTCTTAGCTTGTAGCTGATCCTCACATGATGTCTGTCTTCCCCTATGTTTGTGTCTGTGTTGTTCTTCTCTTTTTATAACTCAGAAGTGATTATGTTTAGGACTCACCCTCACACTGGTATGACCTCATTAAAATAAGAAAGGAAAATCCTAGTTCCAAACAGGGTCATATTTACAGATACTGGGGATGGAATTCAACACATATTTTGGGGACACAATTCAATCCATAACAGGAGAGAAGGAGGAAAGTTAAGGAGACTAATGCTGGGTTTAGGGGAGTCATTGTTATTTATCAGGAGCACAGACCCAGTGGAGCAAAGAGCACATGGACCCTATTTGCTTATTCCAACCCTTATTAATGACCTTCTGCCCCAGGCCCTAGAGGAGCCTCAGGTCAATTGATCAGTCATTAGGGTAACATTTTCCGCATTTGCTTAATTCTGAAGACTTCAGCTCCTTTCCTGACTCTGATGGCAAAAGAATGGGAAACCTGGGCCTCCTGTCTAACTCATGCTTTCTCCTCCAGGGACCGGTTCCGGACCATGGTGAACGTACTTGGAGATGCATTTGGGACGGGCATCGTAGAGAAGCTCTCCAAGAAGGAGCTGGAGCAGATGGATGTTTCATCTGAAGTTAACATCGTGAACCCCTTTGCCTTGGAATCCACAATACTTGATAATGAAGACTCAGAGACCAAGAAGTCCTATGTCAATGGAGGCTTTGCCATAGACAAGTCTGATACCATCTCATTCACCCAGACCTCACAGTTTTAGAACTCCTGGATTCTGACAAGTGGGAATGAGGACATCTCCATGAGAATCATCTCTTAGCAAATGAAAATATTTAAGGAAAAAACAAAACACTAATGGACAGTTGTACATTTGATTTGATACAGACGTCCAGATTATGTTCTGTATTTTGATTCACAGCTTTTGCTTTCTGAGTTCTAGGGTTGGGAGTGGCGTAGGGTGGAAGGAAATGGATTAAAAGGAAAGTTATAAATTCTAGGTTATTTTTTAATTCCAAAAGAAAGATTTTGGAAGTATTTAAAATAACAGCCGTTGGAACTAGGGATGAATATGGAATACAAATAGCTTTCTCACGCACAGACCAATGTTTCGGGTTTTTAAAGAAAAAAAAAATTCTGTCATTGGTTACAAATTTTTACTCAGGCTTTCTATTGGCATGAATTTCCTTTGACCTCTCACATTTTTATAGATTGTGATGAATCTAAACAACCTCCCAGCTAATGTGCCAAAACTGTCTACTTTGAATTCATCTCCAGCCAATTTCAAAGACACTGCTTTGAAAGAAAACAGACCAGCACAGTTCTGCAATAACAGTTTTAAGATGGGCATGAGGTTTGGAGGGAGGGGAGAAGGGATGTTTTTTTTTTCATCGTACTGTATTGGATGCAGGTAACTGTTAACCCAGTGTTCAGTATAGAGCTAGATTAAGATGTGTGTGTGTGTGTATTTTTTTGCCATATAATTTGCCAGACAGAAATCAGAATTGAGCTGTCAATGTGAAATCAAGAGCTCTCCTTGTACTTGAATAACTGCAATTCCAACCCAGGCCAGCTTTGGGGCTTATCACAACTCCTCTCTTGGGAAGACGGGAATGAGAAATCATATTGGTTTGCTCTTTCTCATCTGTGTGTCAGCCTCAAAGCAGAGCTGTGTTCTGGCACAGAATTCATTTACAACTTCCGGATTCTGGCAGCTGAGAGGGAATCCATATCAGCTTTCTCTTTTTCGGATTCTGGCAGCTGAAAGGGAATCCATATCAGCTTTCTCTTTTGGATTCTGGCAGTGGAGAGGGAATCCGTATTAGCTCTCTAGAAAATTGTATCAAAGGTGTCATTAGCACAAGGCTTTTGGGTATGCTTTTATCTAACTGGAAGACTTCATTCTCCCCAGATCCATCATCCCCACTTAATGCCAGGATGTCACAGCCGTTGCATTTTTGTGCCCACCAAACAGCAGTAGCAAGCTCACAGCTAAGTTATATTTTAATATAGATCCCTTGGGTTGAACAACCCCCTTGACCTGAGAAGAGCTTTCCTCCCTGGATTCTTACCATTTTCTCCTGACATGGAATTTACTTTGTATCAGTGATTGGGGGAAAACGCTTCCATTGTACACTTGTCCCATTCTCCAGGGAGGATTGTTCTTAATACAGACAGTCCTCAGTTTATGAACATCTATCTGACTTACATACCACCTATAGTTACAAACCAACCCCCATAAAGCCTGTTATATAAAAATTCATGATACATACAGTGGTTCATAAAAACAAATGGGCACTACTTTGCAACACGTATCAAAACATCATTATTAATACAGTACGATGTTAAAGATGTTTTAGTGTATCTAAGTGTTTCATACGGAGCTCTGGTAGCATAGTGGCTAAGGCACTTGACTGCTAACCAGAGGGCTGGCGGTTCAAACCCACCAGCCACTCCTCAGAAGAAAGATGGGGCAATCTAGTGATACTGCCTTGGAAACCCAAGGAGGGGTCACTATGAGTAGAGTCTGACTCAATGGCACATAACAACAACAACAAGTGTTTCTTTAATGTTTTATGCATAGAAAGGTACACAATATACTGTATACTAAGACAAACATTTAATTTTACCTAACCTCCAATTTTTGACTTAAAGACAGACTTAGGAACGAAACTCATTTGTAATCTGGGAACTGCCTGTAATAGTCTTGGCCCTGCTCATTAAAATTCACTGCTTATCACTCTTTTGCTAATTTACAAAGATAGCTCCATTTTTAAGTCTGTGTTTCCACCCCCATCTTGTAAATAATGCTTAACACAAATTTGTGCTTAGGCTGCGGTCCAACATAGTTGTATCTCCACGGTGTTGACCAGCCCATTTCAACCTGTGCTTTTATATTTAAGAAACCAGGAATTTGTGCCAAAGACATCAGAAACATAAATACATGCTCAGTCTTGACCATCTGCACCTTAAATCCCCTGAGATTGACAATAATGTAGACATAGTAAAGATCATTGATTCCATGTGAATTTTTAGACACAACTATTAATGTTGTTTATAGGAAATAAATCTAACTACAAATGAAGTTGAATCAGTAGTTTATCTTGGGCTAAATGGTTCTACTCCCTTAGTGGGTTGCTCAGATCAATGGCCCTGGAATTGGCAGAGCTGTTTGTGAACTGCGGGTCATCTTTATTTTTGAGTCAGTCTGTGACCAGCCTTTTCACACACTGTGTTGTTAACTCACAGAAGAGGACAATGTTCCATTTCAGCCTCAATAAACCTTTCTTCCCTTCTCCCCTAACCCCCTCACTCCTGCCTTTTTCTTCATTTATCTTCTCTTTTGTCTTACTTAGATAGGTGTGGGAAGGTGGAGACATGGTTGTTGATACAGATTATACCTAGATTACTGTTTTCAAAACTGTTTAAACCCCAAGGCTGAAAAAGAAAGGTTTGAGGAAAGGTAATCAGATTCTCCTGCTAACCAGTGGAGTTATGAAGCTGAAATACAGTGGCATTATGAACAGTTTAGGAGCCCTTGGGGTGGCCTGAATGGCTAAGCCCTTGACTACTAGCCAAAATGTTGGCAATTCAGATCCACCCAGAGGTGACAGGCCTGGTAATCTGCTTCTGAAAGGTCACAGCCCTGAAACCCCTACCAAACACCCCTCTGAACACAGGGTGGCCATGAGTCGGAATCAATTGGAAAGCAGCTGGTTTGGTTGTTTGGTTATTATGCCCCAAGGAAAGAGGAAAGTACCTCCTCATAAATACGCTTATCACTACCTGGCTACACTAATACAGAATCGTTCCTTTGTTTACAACATGGGAGAAATCAACACAACTCCTTAGAGTTACTTGGGAAAGTTGGTGCACCTGAGCCCATGTGATTTTGACCTTGTCTAAAATATACTCCTCACATACAGAGGGACAATGTTAACTCTAGCCAATGCCTTTATTTTTTTAATGGTTATTTTTAGACCAAAGCCTATTCTTAGAATTACCTTACCAGTTGCCATTGAGTCAATTGCAACTCCCCTTGTGTTTCAGAGTAGATTTATGCTTCATAGGGTTTTTAAGGCCATGATCTTTTAGAAAGAGATTGCCAGGCCTTTCTACCGAGGCACTTCTGGGTGGGTTCAAACTGCCAAGGTTTTGGTTAGTAGTCAAGCACTTCACTGTTTGCACCACCCAGGGACTCCGCATTCTTAGACTGGCCATGAGAAGATGTGTTTGGCTTATAATCAGGTGGTGGGCCAGAAGCAGTGTCTGTCTTCATGGTGTTTAAGAATATTCTAGAACTGAGAGACTTAGATAAGCAAAGCACTATTGAAAAAGAAGAACAAAGTAGGAGGTTTCACACTGCTGGATCTCAAAACCTACTATACAGCTACAATAGTCAGAACTACCTGGTATTGGTTCAATGACAGACACATAGACCAATGGAATAGAATTGAGAACCCAGAAATAGATCCATCAACCTATGGTCAGCTGATCTTTGACAAAGGGCCTAAATCCACTAAATGGGGAAGAGAATGTTTGTTTAATAAACGGTGCTGGCAAAACT